GACTCTCTGAGTGTTTAGATACTTAACTTTAGTCTAAGTTATCTCAGTGGGTCTCAAACTGTTTGGTCACAAATTATTCAAAAGATTATTTCCGCGGCACACCTTCATATGATCATTATAGTTATAAAAAAAATAAGAGAATAAAGGAAAAACAGTTATGAAATACTATATGGCAGTAAAACAAGAATAGAGTTTAAAAGGGGAGTGATTAGTAAAATATCCATAAAGAAAAAGTACATCTGTTTACAGTTCTGTTTCATATGGGTGCTGAGAGAGGTATCCATAGATCTCTTCATTTTCTAACCAGATTGATGCTTTTAACTTCAATATTTAAAAGAAAATCTTCCCGGGGGAGCATCCCCCCGGACCCCCCTAGAGGAGGTGAGGTCTGCCCCCCACTCATAAAAAATACCACTTTACCCCTGCCTATATGCCGTGAGCTGATTATCGAGCCTTTATTGTAACAGTCGCGGGTGTACTGTGTGTGCGTGTGGGGAGTGTTGCAGTAAAAAATGCCACTAGTGCCGCCGCCACTGTGGGCTAAGCCCCGAATGTTTTCAGGCCCAGGCGACGCCCCTGGCAGTGCATGTATTTTATTTTACCTTCGTAGTCGTCCCGACATGACTTTGCCAGGTCTGCTAACTTTGCTGAGCCACGGAAACTGCATTCAGTAGAAGCTTCGTAGTTCTGATGAACTATTGTGGGAAAAGTACTTCGGTTATGAAGGCTTCTCAATTCTCTAATTTCCCCTCCTCGACTCCTCGACTCCTCGGTCCTCCGGTAGTGACCCGGAAATGGATTTCAGCGCGCCATGTTGAAGAACATCTAATTTCTCTAAATGCACATCGAGGACCGAGCATCGAGGAGGCTCTCTGGAGGAGCTATAATCGAGGATACAATGATGGTTCCTCCACGGCTCCTCCGCGGATGTATTTCCGGCAACAGCGATGTTTCAAAGAATCGTGACGCACGGCCGGACTTATCTCAGCCAATGACAGCTCTGCATGCATCCTCTGGATATTATTTTACTAAGTGTTTTCATCGCGACGCGATGTTTCCAGTGAGAACAGATGTGAGGTCCGTGCAGAAAGCAGAGCAGTGTGTATAATATATATCACTCAGTATAACAGGCCTACATTACTCTCTGTATTTGTATGCTTTAGTTTAGTAGATATCTACAAACAAAGAGTCGATATTTTTCTAAAACCATTTAGTGCTTCACATAATAAAAGTGCATAGATGCGGCGGACAGACAGGTCCCAGTTGGTTTGGTGTCCTATGCTTACTTTTAATACTTAATACCCGTAATTTCAATTCCCCATTTCAGCGACCAGAGAGAGGGGGGGGATATATCCAGTCTCTGATTGTGTTACGTTATTATGAGAGTGCTCTCATACTTGTTTGATTCTGAAATTGTATATATTTATATAAATATATGTGTGTGTATATGTCCGCATCTGTAGCCTGTTATTGTCTCATTATACCGCACTGTCAATGAATTAAAAGTAAATATATAAGTCGTCATGAACACATCTGTCCATCAGACAGAGTGCTGCTGTGCCTCCTGTCATCATTAATGGACGTCTCTTTAAAATGAACGCTCAGAGGAGAGGATTTCTCATTTCTCTAAATGCCTGCTGCTTCCACTCCTCTCTCCTCGGTACCCCTCCTCGACTCCTCCGCTCGCATCTCCTGTGGGCGGGACTAAGACACGAGGATAGGAGTCGAGGAGGGGAAATTAGAGAATTGAGAAGCCTTCTCTATGTCTGTCGGTCTCAAATCTAAAGGGTGCAATAACGATTTTCATAAACAGCTGATACTGTTTATACGCAGCCTTCACAAACCACACACGGCCAGATAGCTTATCTAACAGTTAGAACCTACACGAGACACAACCTTTATAGTCAGAAAAAAAGTGTGATTATTTTCTTATATTTTACACATATGATATTATGAATACTGTGGGCCTACATACCTTAGTGTGATTATAAGTGCATGTGAGTGAATATTGGCATGCAAATTCGTTTTTATACGTCCTATTCATTGTCTTAATGCGCTCATACATCTTAAGAAAGTTATCACCAAAAATGTTAAGAATGTTTTTAGAGAACGTTATCCTACCTTTCAGAAGAACATTCTGGGAACCAAAATAAAACGTCCCACTGAAAACGTTTAAAGAACAGTAGGGCATAATGTTCTAACAATGTTATCAAAAACATCTAAGGTTATCAAAAACATCTTAAGAAGGTTATCACCAAACATTTCAAGAATGTTTTTAAAGAACGTTATCCTACCTTTCAGAAGAACATTCTGGGAACCAAACTAAAACATCCCGCTGAAAACATTCCTAGAACAATGAATGGTAACATTCTCAGAATGTTTTTAGAACCAAAAATGCCTAGCTGGGAACTCACACATGCCACCGCAAACATGCAATATCTGCTTACAGCTTATCATGAATTACTGCTTGTTTGTTTTTTTCAAAAGGAAAATGTGGTGACATCAGATTTTGTAAAACATCCTTTTCAAACAAATGCAACAAGTTTGTTTTTTAAAGCGCTCTAGAAATAAATCTGACGTTGACCATGACCATGTTAATATTTGCCATCACAGGAACGTTTTATAAAAAAAGAATAACCTCCTGAAAACATTATCCGAATGTTGCTTAGAAAATGTTCTTCTTTTGTTATCATGTAACATTGAGGGAATGTTTTATAAAATAATATCTTTAATCTGTTACCTCAACAACGTCCAAAAAACATCCTTAGAATGTTGCAGGCAAAACGTTCCACCTTTGTTAACATATCACTGTTGGGGGAAACTTCTGAAGCAATTGGAGTCAGGACTCGAGACACGAGGAGAGCTGGAGCTTTGATGGCAAACACTGATGGTTTATTTGGAGCTTCGGCCAGAGAATTCACAAGACAAGTCAAGAGCCAGAGGTCTGACTACACAGGAGTTGCCACAATCAATTCTGAAGAACTCTACCCCAGACCCATGTATTTAGCTAGTTCTGAGAAAATAATCAACATTGTGCATAACAAGATAGAACCATAACACCTCTATCAGCTGACGCCAACAGGCAGGAACAAATATTATTTTTTAGAATATCTTAGGCCCTAAGAGAGGGCCTAGAGGGCCCTGACGGCTCGCCACTGGCAATAACACAACTACAGCAAATATAGAGCAAATATCTTACTGTTCAAAACAAAGTGCAGTCCTTGATTATGTACTGAGGTACTTTCCACTACTTTATTTCGAGATCCCCATCTTGTATCCTGTTAAGTCATTCAGTGTCAGAGATAATTTGTTTTCCCACCAGCTCCCCACAGCATGCTGGAAAACAACACATTAAGGACGATAAACGGAGGCAGTTACAGTCTTTTCCCCTGTTGCTCTAATCAAAGCATACAGACATGAGAAAGTTGGCACAATTTGAGAAAGCCTGTCACTCTATGTGTCATAAAGACATCCTCAGGCCTTGCGACAGTTTCATTCAGATTAAAAAAGGCAAAACAACTCATCACATATCACCTCATTAATTAAGAGACTGGATTATTATTTATATCCTTCCGCCTTCACTCCTATTTCTGACTTAAATCGGTATTTTTAAATCGTCAAGATTCTGGTTTTGATCATCAATGACTCAGATGCAAGGGAGGCACCTGTCATTATGTTGCCTGCACACACACACACACACACACACACACACACACACACACATTCTCTAATTAACATCATGCAGTTGCCTATAGTTTTTCTGGGCTCACTGTGTCGGCTGTTGAGGGGGTTGTTGTGTCCCTGTTATTTCAGGTTTAAACCCTGCCAGAGCCCATCCTGCCCCGTGTGAAACCTCTCAACCACTATCAGCAACAACATGGCAACTCCTACCCAGAATGCGATGACTGGAGATGGGAGACTGTCCTCTGAGACGGCTGTGAATCCAACAAGTCAGACTAAGTAGGATTTTCTTAAATAAAACTAGATTTAAACAAAAATAAAACCAAAGACATACATTTACTAAAACATATTAACTTTCATGACAAAAAGTACACGCCACAAATACGAGACTTGGATATAACTAAAATAAATGTAAAACTCTTTTCCTACCACTCATTTAGCTTTATGGGTGCTATTGCTACACTGTTGATTGGGATAATGATAAGAGGCCCACACTAATAATGGCATTATCTATAATGTGTTTAGCTTTTTACTTTTAAGTCAAGCATAAAATCAGCAACAAATTACACAAAAATTAAAGAGTGTAAAAAGATTTGATCAATTCATCAATGAAAACAAATGATGTTTCCTGGAAAGGGGGTATATGCAACGTGTTAACTGTAGCAGGCTGAACACCATAATTATAATTAAAACCTAATAATAATGGATGAACTCAATTTGGCACATACAATTATCCACAGAATAGATGTTTTATCAAATACATTTTAAGTGTCAGTCGTATTTAGGTCCAGGTTCTATTTTTTATGAATATTTTAATGAAAATATAGCACTCTTTGTGGAAAAGTGTCATTGCTTTTCAATAGCTTCAATGTCATGCGCCCTTATTACTTTTACTAATGTGTTATGAATTGATTTTACAAATAAATTCAATTGAAGATCATTTCAGTTTCTTCCATGTCATGCGACTAATTTACTCCCAGTTGATACCAGATATTGACTTAAAAAATAAAACACACTTCTTTTTATGTGATTGTAGTTCTATGTTATTTGAATATTTTAATGAATATTCAGCTGCTTTTTATTTAAAATTCTTGATTTTTTTCAATAGCTTTTGTCATGTGACTCCAAATCAATGCAGCATTGTATTACAACACTAGAAGGATGTAGTTCTGGTCTAAAAAAAACAACAACCACTTATTAAATTGCATTTTCTGTACCCTCTGTTAAAAAAAAAAAGAAGGTAGTTGCTTGTATGTGCATATAGTTTGTCATAATAGTTTTATATGAGGAAGAGTAAGGATACAAAAATAATCATTCTGTTTGCTATACTTATTTACAAAGATTCATTTATTTTGGTGCATCACAATGAATAATATACAAATTTAAAGTGACATTTCAACAACATTACCACCTATTCAGTCTTGACCCTCAAAATACACAGTCAACCTAAAACATAAACTTACTGATACAAAAAAACTTTTTTATAAGAAAAGGGAAATGTGAGAACGGAATCCTTCATTACTCTCAATTATTCTATTGAAATATAAAAAAACACTGGAAACATTAGACTTCATATCTTTGATACAACCAACAAATAAAGGAGATCTTTACTTGGCACAATATTGATATCAGTAGGTTAATAAAACTGAGAGGCACAGCTTTGCTGGTTTTTGATCGGTTCACATTTGAAATTCACAAAATGTCATAAAGTATCAATCATAAAACATATCAAGATCATGGTAAGCAGAGAGCAAATGGACATTTAACCATAAAAAGAGACAGTGCTAACAGATGCTTAAGCTTAGTTACCTGAGAGCACATATGCACCATCAGCTGACACTCAAGTAACACTCATTATGCAACAGGGAAAATAAAAAACACATATCCAGGAGAATGTGGTGAATGCGCTTTGAATGCACATTGCTGCCATTTGAAATGCATTTACAAGCATTTAAAGATACAAATATTACCGGCATTAACCATTAAACAAACGGAGTGGTTATAATTGCATTTTAGAGTCTCATTTTACAGACTTTGAGAGGAGGCACTAATGGTTCGCTGGGAGGCGAGACTTCTACAGTGCAGGAGCACAGAGAGAGGATGGATGAAGGCGAGCAGGCTGAGCAGCGCCAGACCAGCGTTCACCTGCAGACACATGGGGGAGAGAGGAGGTGGAGCGAGAGAAACAATGATAGATTAAGATCGTTATAAAGCGAGAAGGATCAGAGAAAAGTTTACAGTATCAGTTATTTATTGTTTACTCACATATAAAGGATCTCCACCCAGAGGTCCATTCACCAAGGCAAAGAATGGATATTGCAGCACAGAAAACACTGCAGACAGAGCCATGACCAGACCATACAGTTTCCCAAAGTGGCAGGACGGGAAACTACACACACACATCGTGATGTCATGGAAAGAAAAAGGAAGTAGTGAAAAGACATAGAAAAAGGGACATTTATTTGTAAAAACAACCACTTTATGTTCACCAACTAAGTATAAACATACAGTAAGTAACAGATTATAATGTTATTATAAGAAGAAATAAGAATGCTTTAGTGTAATGTAGTCCACAAAGAGGTATGAGCACCTTTGTATATTTGTGTATGTTTGATACTCACGCCACACTGAGGAAAGCTGCGTTTCCGCCATAGAGGAAGGAGCGGTTGAGCACCTGAAGGATGAAGGTGAGGTACTGAAGCGGCAGGTATGGGGTGGCGGCACAAACCGAGAACAACACACACTGCAGCGCCGTAAGGAAGAGAGAAAGTATGGAGGCACGCAGGTCCGCTTCCTGTTCACTTTCTCCTACAAACAGACACACGCACAAAAGAAAACAGTTGTATTTGCTTGCACAGTCATTTGTATAGCTAACAAAGAAGGAACATGAGGTTGGGATTCAGTGCATTTTAACTGCTGTTTATCCATTACGGTTAATAATGGGACTAGTAATGATCACCCTGAGAGCACACTTGGGACACTCTGATTATGTCTGCAATGACTGAGGACTGTTTGGTTCATTAATAGTTGTTAAAAGCATTAGTGTGTTACCTGCAGCACGAGGTTTGCCCTTGTGTCTGTCAAAGATGAGGCCGTTCCATGGAGCACACAGCACGCCACACAGCTGTGTTATAGCAAAGGCATTGATGTACCGGCTCACTGTGAGATACACAAGCCAGACAACATGGTTAGAGACTAAATACTTTAACATACAGTTCAACAAATCTGCGATAACAGTTAGTACTCATTTAACTTAATGGACCTAATAAAGAAAGTTTGTACAAATGGATCTTTGCTAGGACAGTCAGACATGTTGTGGTTTTTGAGTGTGTTTACCTAATGAAGGCTCTCCTTCTGTCAGTCTCTGCAGCATGGGGTTGAGGGTGCCGATGAAGAGGTAATGTCTGAGCTGCATCACTGACAGCCACAGCAGGTGGAGGACAAAGAGCCTGGACATCAAACACTCCCGGAAACTCTTCTCTGAGGGAGACCACAAGAGAGTGGAGAGTAAAGAAAAAAGACAAAGTGAAATACGATATTTGAATGTGTTTTTCCGTTATCTTTGACAATATATTAATTAGGGCAACATTAAAAGGAACAAACCTTGTTTCACCGGGTCGTCTGTGTTCAGTGTTTCCTCTCTCGTCTTATGAGCGTTACCATAATCTTGTGTCTGCTCTAAGCTCAGAGCCTTTGATTTTCCACAGGTTATCCTGAGAAAGGTCAAAGGTCACATTGAGTCAGACACAGACTGTGGCCATTTTTAAGGTTTTATGATAAATATTTACTTTGCAAATGACATTATTAAGTTATAACCCGCAATAATCACATAACAGGATATGAAGGATATTACTTAGGAATGTTGGATAATGATGTGAAAATGAACTGTGCCAGTAAGATTCAAAGCATATGTTGTTACTGAAAGAAATGTGATTACCTCAATGTATTGTTTGACTTGAAATATCAAAACTGGGTTTATTCATCATTAACCATTTTCTTTGGAAAAGGAAAGTTAAATGTTTTAATGTTTTTTATGGATTTTCTGAAAAATATGCACATTTCTGTAAAATAGTTTGAATTGTTTTTTACTCAGACCTAATTTCCTGTCACACCCAATACAGCTTTTTCTTGCTTAACTGTATAGTAGAGTTATAGCAAAGAGCCAAAGCAAGTCAATATTCAAACTTTTTTTTGAAACAAGATACATTCATGGATTTATATTCTTGGTTTCACTTGATGCACTTATGAAGAACACATGCGATGTTTGTATTGGTATCTGTACCCGTATGTGTATTCATCCGGCAGTGGGTAGGGAATGTGTTTTCTGGGCAGCAGGAAGAAAGTCCTGAGCAGGTGAAGGACGCTGCAGGCGCACAGGAAGAAGAAGGAGGCTCGCAGAGAGACGCCCGCCTCATGCAACAGCTGAAAGAGACAACAAGATCATTGACACAATATGAGATGGTATAAAACATTTTCATTAATGAGACCATAGTGTTCCTTTTCTCACCTTGATGACAAGGAAAAGTGCTGATGAAGAGTCGAACGCCCCGTTATAGAGAGTAATGATGGTCGAGCGACGGGCGCCAAACAGGTTTCCAACCTTTAAGAGAGAAGTTTGAATTAATTCAAACAGAGGTTTGTCGTGTTTAAGTCTCTGCTTTTTTCCTTTCCTTTTTCCTTTTCTTTCATTCAATGTTAAAACTAGTTATTGCCGAGTTGAATTGCCTGTGTGATCATGAAGATGTAGTTTTATCACTGGAAGAGATTGGTATTTATTTCCCCACAAGATCTTGAGCTTAGTCTGAGAACCACCTTGCAGTCAACATAAGTACATGTTTGTACATGCCTTGTTTTTTAGATGTGGGAAACACTTGGATCTTGAAAATCAAACCGTTGTGCTTCCTAAAAAAGCTCTCACAACCAGTTTTGTCAGTCTCAGCTTTACTCAAAAACATAGTCCTAGCTCGATTAAGAGCTGCTGATCATATGGATTGATTCTCAGGGCAAACTTAAGGAGTTGCTGCTGTTCTCTGTTAAATATATATATAATTGTAAAATACATAATATTATAAGAGGGTTTCAGACTGAATAAAAAAGCTATTTTAATACGTCAACTCGAGAGAAATTGTGAAGGGCAGTTTTTACAATTTTCAGACATTAAATGAAGAACATAAAAATGAATTAAGATGAATTAAAGCAACAGTTTTCTTTTTAATGTTTATATTCTGCGTGAGTGCTTCAGTACCTGCATGTTGGTCATTAAAAACAAGATGCCTCCTACTGCCACGAGTGAAATAGCTGGATAGAGAAGGTTGGAAAAAGCTGATAGGAAAAAAAAAAAGATTAATAAATATAAGTGTCCACAGATGCAACACCTAACTATTAGAATAATACGGTGACACACAGGAATGTTTTTACCTGCAGTTGACAAAGCCAACATCAAGGAACCCAGGGTATAAAGACAGCTGGAGGGAGAAGAAATGTCAGTGTTATTGAGTCATGTTATTGGCTTAATGGGGTCTTAACAGAAACATGGCTAGATATAATGGTCATGTAAATGTTTTCAAGCCCTGTTATACTCATTTTCAGGTTCATATTTGTGTTGGAGCGCCAGCCAATAGAAGCGCAAGTGTTACATAGTGATGTCACTGAAGTTAACAAAGGAGTCCAATGGAGTTGTTTCAGGCAGTTCACTTTCCCTCTAAAGTGAACTGTGTGATTTTAGCCTATGCAAACCACACCAAAACCTATATAACACACTACAGGAATTTGAAGACACAAAAAAGCACAATAGGGCCTCTGTGTCAACAAAATTAAAAATAAATATTTGAGATGGGAAATTGTTCTGGAATAGAAAACACACTTTCAGTGAACAACATTAAACAAGCTTTCAAACGCAGGTTCTTTTTCTGCTGCTGTTTTTGAAGAAATGTAATGTCCTTTATTTGGTACATCCTAAACGAAGATCTTCCCTACTCTCAACACGACTAATCTTGTCCAACTATTTGCATTCCTTGGCTTTTCCTTCCACCCTCTTTTAGTGGAAACATATGGATGTCCTTAGTGCCCGTTTGTTATTGTGTATTTAGATATATCTGAGGCAACAAACTGGGCAGGAATGTGTGTGTGTGTGTGTGTGTGTGTGTGTGTGTGTGTGTGCGCGTGTGTTGTTATGATATAGGATGTGTATGAACTCTGAGGCAGTAAGGAAAACTTCATGTCACAAGATTTAAATATCTGCTCCAAAATAAATCTTTCTTTCTGAAATTCCACTAACCTCTTGTCATTAATGGTCTTGACCTTTTCCTTATTTGTTATTATTCTCTAAACGTATTCCAGTGCTGTTGCCCTTTGCTGCTTAACTCCCTTTTCTCACAAAACGTTTTCATTATATACTTCATTGCCAAGTATCCGGCTCTGGTATGTAGACTGCCTCTTCATTCTTGTGTCTGTTGCTGCCTGGAGACTGCAGCTAATTTACATAACATACCTTGAGGGAGATATTTTAACATATGCTTGCTTTCTTGGTCTTCTTGCTTTTCTACGTGTATGGGTTTTACCTTACATGAGCATGAACTTCATTTAGCAGCAAATAAATCTGAGAATCCATCAGAGGTCAAAATACCAGAGGCCGACTTTACAGCAGATCGCCACCATTGCATTGCAGTATTAGCCACTACCGGCAGAGGCGGGAGGGATCAGAGGAGAGGGTCCCATCTGGCTTTAATGAAAATGTGTTTTTTTTTTTCATTTATTGTTGCACCAACAAAGGGCAAAACGACTTGTTCGGAAAAAAGAAAAATAATTTAATGTTTTTAATTGTTTTTGTTTTTGGAATGAAAACTTTCATTGCAATAGCCTAGTACACACTTTATTGCTTTTAATGTTTAGCTTTGTGGCAACCTGTTGCATGTTTACATGCTTTAATGTTCGAAAAGCTCTTTATTTTTCTCACGCTGCAGCATCTCTTTTCTCCCCAGTCTGCTCTGATTGGTTAGCTGGCCGGCTTTGTTGTGATCAACTGTTTAGAGATGTCCCGCTACTAAGCCTATCAAGTGCAATGTGTTGGAGCGTTAGCCAATAAAAGCCCTTGTTACATAGTGATCTAATTTCACACTACAAGAGAGAGAAACCCCCAAAAAGCATGAGAGGGCCTCTTTAAGTGATGTTTTTGATTGGAACATACATTTCTTGCTTCCGCCTGAACGGCTTTAAAACACACACTATCTATGAGCTAGTTATTTTTTAAATATAATATATTGAATATTTTCCTAAAGGAAATCTAAACAAACTATTGTTAGATGAAACCATCACACCTATAATCAATACACCTACAACCAACTAGGAGAGACTCATTACTGCAACTTGCACTTGTTCCTCAATAATCAGACTAATGAACAGCTCTGTTTCTTGATTACTGATCAATTTGTATTATTTCTGTCTTTTATACTCTCAAGATAATATATTGTTCAACTCACGTTCCAAGGAGTCGAGCCACTGTAGTACCAAACCGGTCAAAGAGGAAACCATTAGGCAGCGTCAGGAAATTGTTCAGAAAGGAGGCGGTGGTGAAAACAAGAGAGAACTGTTCATCCTGCCCGCTGCAATCTGTACACAAAACATAAAGAGAGAGAGAGCCATGGTTGTACAATATACGGTTAACAGGTGGTTATTAAGAAGGTCTGCAGAGAGAGGTAAATGGTTCCAGGTGCTTTGAATTCAAATGAGTGATAGTGAGAAACTGACCTAAGACCTGCGTTGCATTGACTCCTGTGGTGTTGACGCACAGAGAGCTGAAGTAGCCCTCCGTCTTCAAGACAAAAACAAGAGAAGCCCATCCAAACACAGCTCCAGCAAAACACAGACACTCCACCAGACCCGTAGCAAAGGTGAGGCAGCGCTTCACTCTCAAACCTTTCCCGAGACATGACATGGTTCCTCAAACACACACACACACACACCCACACACACACACACACAGGCAGACACTTCCCAAATACTATACTTTCAGCCACATGGACACACACGCACAAACACACAAGTGGTTTCTGTTACTGCACCTGCCAAACAAAGGGAATACAAACAAATGTTATTCTCATTAATTTAGAGATTACATGTCACTTGTTAGACGCTTTTATCCAAAGCGACTTACATACTCAATACTGTGGGCAATCCCCACAAGAGCAATTTGGGGTGAAGTGTCTTGCCCAGGGACACAACGACATTGTTAGGATGCGTGGAAAGAGTAGGACCCAAATGCAGACTACAAAACAAGGTAACAAGGTCTAGAAACAAAAGCGAGCTTTATTCCAAAAGCTGAACAAAAACATGGCATGAAACACATAGGTACTACAAAAACTGACCGTGACCAACATGGTGGGAGACAGGAGAAACAATGAACCGACAAGGCACACAGGGGAAGACAAGACTAAATACAGAGAGGGGTAATCACAAGACAAGACACAGCTGGGGTAAGGGAGGCAGAAACACAAGGGCAACAGGTGAACACAATCAAACAATCAGACACACCAGGGAAACGAAGGGTGTTTCTCAATCGCGAGTAAAGCTGCTTCCGAGCCACTATTTCAAACATACTACGTCATCGAGTGCCGCCGAAGTACTGTTCCAATCTCCAGTATACTTGGAAATCTACCGAGCCCGGCGTACTCCGTTTGGAGAAATATCGAGTGTGCACATGAGTAGACTTCGCGGCCTTAAAATCCCCACAATGCTTTGCGCACGGACCAATTTCCCCAAATCTGTGGCGGAAGATGTAAGGCGGGGCCTCTCATATGACGCACACCTGCACACTTGCTAGCCTGTTCCACTCTTTGTTTTCCAAATGGCAGGAAGTATTCTTGACTCGCTTCTGAAGCAAGATGCTCGGCAGACATGTGCTACCAAGCAAGTGTACTCGCGATTGAGAAACACCCTAAGACAGGAAGGCAAACACAGGAAGAAGGAACAGAGAAGACACAAGGAGGAAAACATTTCAAAACAAAACAGGAAACCAGAGACAGAAAAAGACAAGACAAAACACAACACAGACAGATCGTGACAGACATGCTGACTGCAGTGGGGATTGAACCTGTGACCCCCTGTTCCAAACACCAACGCTCAATCCACTGCACCATACGCCTCCCTAATGATGACTACGTGTTGAGACAAGCGTTGCAATTGTATATCAAAAGAACCAGCCATGCATGACTGAAGTATTTTAAGGTTGCACAAGGAAGACATGAGCTTGAAACATCTGGGCACGGAATGTGCTGCTTGGTCCAGGCAGTTATGTCAGATGGACTTCTGCATTAAATGTGTCTTTGGATAACAGAAGCAAATGACTGTTGTTGAGATAATGGTAGGTCATAAACTCCAATTTCAACAACAAAAGATGAAATTAGAATGTGCAACGGTGGACTTTTATCAAAGTAAACACAACAAATGTGCAGTTGTAAGGCTGCATTATTATCCAGTCTAACAGTCTGTAGTACTCACAGTTCAGTCTCTGTAGCGCTCCCCAAATTGTACAAATCACAACTCTCTGCTCTTGCTACACTCTCTTTCTTTATATAGGCCAGCTCTTCCTTCCTCTTTCATTCCAGTTCCCTCCCTCTCCTCCCTCCCCCATTATTTAAATATTTGTATATTTCTCAATCAATCTCTCTGCTGCGCAGGAGAGAAAATCCCTCTTGTTGCAGTGCTAGTAGCTGCAGAAAATAAACATTCCCTGCAAAGGAAAACAGCGATGAAGCAGCCACTGAAGCTGTGAGATACACTCCAGATGTGGATGCTATTAACGCTGGCTACACTGGTTTAGCAGAAAGGTCATGTGACAGGAAAAATGTTGGGAGTGCAGTGTGGAAACTTGCTCTCTGTGTCATTACTGGGTAAATATGTGCAAAGCATCCTTGGCCTGATCACTGCTTAACAGGCTGTGAGGAAGGGTGCTGCAGTCCCACACTGCTACAGGTTTCTCCGGAAGAAATAATCACAATTATCTTTACTTTATCTCCTCGGTAGTTAACCATTATGTTGAAAATTCAAGATAAGAAAATTGAACATAGGACCCTCGCCTGAGTTTAAAATATATTGTTATTGGCAGTCATAAAAGACAGGGGGAAAATTGCAGTATGGGAAATGTAGTACTAATGATGCATGGGGTCTAAAACGGGGTTGCTGAGTTTCAACGATCATTTTTTAAATCCGTCCCTTTCCGTAACCCAATCTACTTTGGGTCAATTGAGCACAATACTAAGTTATTTTATTACCATTTTAATATAATTTGGAGTGTTAAAAAGTTACAATTTGGTAAGAGATTACAGTTTCCAATTATCTTTTAAGATAGAGCACACAATACTGCAATATTTTAAATGTATGTAAATAAATGAAGGACAACCTGAATCATTTTATGAAGCCAGGAAATATATCCTAGGATCTAATCAGTATCTAAATTCAATCATTCTCTATACATTAAAGGGGATCTTTAAGTGTCTTTAGTCAAATGTTACACTTTTGTTAATAAACAGATAAACAACATGCCATTGATTTTAGAGTACCAGCATCAACAGAGCACTTAATTATAGACACAAGATCAATCAGCATCAGCATTTCAACTATGTTATCAGCTACAGTGAGATCTAATGAGTAACTCAGGTCTGTCAGTACCTGAGAGTCACCTCCACTAAGACTGTTATTGATAATTATTCTGTCAGGGGAATTTTATGATTGCCTTGATTTTCTCTCCTTTGATATAATTTATGCAAAGTGACGATACTACAGAAATGGGTCATTAATAAGTTCTGAGAGATATTTTGCATTTAGTGGGATTATACAATGTCACTGTTGCTGAGGCACATGAGCAACCAGAGCACATACTGTTACATGATCATCATTATGGCCCGATACTTTGCACAATGGTTAAGGCAAATCCCCTTTTATGATGCTGAGGCAGTGGTTGCTGATAGCTAAGGGCAGAGATGTATCACACAGCTGGAAGTCTTAAACTATCTATAACACCACTCATGAGTGTTAGGATGCGTGGAAAGGGTAGGACCCAAATGCAGACTACAAAACAAGGTAAAAAGGTCTAGAAACAAAAGCGAGCTTTATTCTAGTGATGTTACGTATTGTGCCGAGGCTTCGGAGCGTGTGTCGAGTAATCCCCGAAGCTTTTTGTGAAGCATGTATCGAGGCTTGTATCGTTTTGGGCCAGTGACGTCATCGATGACAAACGAAGCCTCGCTGCCTGTCGATACCACGTGACTGCTTCAGGAAGCGATTCAGATCGGTTGAACCGTTGAACCACAACGCTCATAATACCCATGGATGTATAATAAGAACCATATTACCCCTCCTGTACCCGGGTCCGCTGGTGACACGATGGAATTAAAAGAGCTCAGACCCTCACTTATATAGAGGTCGGAACATGTCATAAGTATAAATAGATACAAGCATAAATAAATGTAGGAATAAAAACATGAATAAATAAATATGGTGTAGTGTTTTCAGAGAGTTTCAGCGTGTGTGCTGTGGCTCAGCTGGAAAGCAGTTGACTCACGGCCGCAGGGTCCCTGGTTCAACGACTGAACAATACATATTTTTTGTTGTTTATAAAAGCTACAGCTAGATGAGATAATGTAGTTAATAAATGTATTCTTTGATATGGTTTAGCCTTTCTCAGGCTACAACATGGTTAAGTTTATGAATATTATTAAGGAATACAAATCCCTCTTTGCAATGTTTACGAGCCTCCTTAGGCTTTTCAATCACAATCATTCAACTGGAATAAAAACAATATTGTTAACATGAACATATGATTTAATGTTCGTTGTTTAGAGTTATTCTTAGGCTTTACTCATTGGGAACTCGGTATGAGATAGAGCACACTGTTGAGATGTCCAATCTGCCTGTTTTACACACTTTGACCAACAGGGGGTTTGTGTTCAAATGAAGCCCATGATGAAGCCTCATGAGATGAACCCTTTTGCAAACCAATTGGCTGGAAAGCTTCAAAGCTTCATAAGGCTTCATCTCGCCATCACTACTTTATTCCAAAAAGCTGAACAAAAACATGGCATGAAACACATAGGTAGCACAAAAACTGACCGTGACCAACATGGAGGGAGACAGGAGAGACAATGAACCGACAAGGCACACAGGGGAAGACAAGACTAAATACAGAGAGGGGTAATCACAAGACAAGACACAGCTGGGGTAAGGGAGGCAGAAACACAAGGGCAACAGGTGAACACAATCAAACAATCAGACACACCAGGGAAACTAAGACAGGAAGGCAAACACAGGAAGAAGGAACAGAGAAGACACAAGGAGGAAAACATTTCAAAACAAAACAGGAAACCAGAGACAGAAAAAGACAAGACAAAACACAACACAGACAGATCGTGACATAACCCCCCCCTCAAGGGACGGATCCCAGACGTCCCAAAAAACATAGTCCAACATTTCCAAAAGGGTGGACTATGACTATCGACTGACGCTGACGTCATTGTGTTATCAGAAACATGGCTAAATAAAACTATTTTGGCCTCTGACATATCCTTAAATGGTTATAATGTGTATCGTACCTGTGGAGGAAACTTCTGTGTAGCAATGCATGGAGTCACCGACTCAGGAAGGAGACACGGTGAGAGTTGGAGCTTTGATGTCAAACACTGATGGGTTTATTCAGAGTATTCGGCCGGAGGATTCACATCACAAATCAAAGAGTCAGAGGTTCTGACCACACGGTAGAGTTGCCACGTCAATTCTGAAGAACCTCTCTCTATGTTAGACCTTTTAACTGGTTCACAGAGAGAAATCAACATCTCTGAAGGATAAGGGAATGCTCTGGTTTTTGGACAAAATTAACATGGGATCACTCCCGTCACCGGACGTACTTCGTCTCACTGGAATAGTAACGGTCATAGTGAATATAAAATCGTCCCCATGTATCCGGCCAATGACGGGAGAGTTTTGAAAGAGACAAAACACTGTTCCATACATTTAAAAACACTTAAACAATTAAACAATGTTTACCTGCCAACAAGCAGCAGTGTGCTGTCATTTCAAACATGTTACCCCACTGTTTAACACACTTTTACCTGTGTTTTGAAGACTCTTTCCTGGGTCAATGTGTGCTCCAATGTGTCCTCTTTCTCCCCCCCTGGGTGTGTGTGAGACAAGTCAAGTGAGTCAGCCTGCCAACAAGCAGCAGTGTGCTGTCATTTCAAACATGTTACCCCACTGTTTAACACACTTTTACCTGTGTTTTGAAGACTCTTTCCTGGGTCAATGTGTCCTCTTTCTCCCCCCCTGGGTGTGTGTGAGACAAGTCAAGTGAGTCAGCCTGCCAACAAGCAGCAGTGTGCTGTCATTTCAAACATGTTACCCCACTGTTTAACACACTTTTACCTGTGTTTTGAAGACTCTTTCCTGGGTCAATGTGTCCTCTTTCTCCCCCCCTGGGTGTGTGTGAGACAAGTGAAGTGAGTCAGCCTGCCAACAAGCAGCAGTGTGCTGTCATTTCAAACATGTTACCCCACTGTTTAACACACTTTTACCTGTGTTTTGAAGACTCTTTCCTGGGTCATTGTGTGCTCTTTCACCCCCCCTGGGTGTGTGTGAGACAAGTCAAGTGAGTCAGCCTGCCAACAAGCAGCAGTGTGCTGTCATTTCAAACATGTTACCCCACTGTTTAACACACGTTTTACCTGTGTTTTGAAGACTCTTTCCTGGGTCAATGTGTCCTCTTTCTCCCCCCCTGGGTGTGTGTGAGACAAGTCAAGTGAGTCAGCCTGCCAACAAGCAGCAGTGTGCTGTCATTTCAAACATGTTACCCCACTGTTTAACACAGCTTTTACCTGTGTTTTGAAGACTCTTTCCTGGGTCATTGTGTGCTCCAATGTGTCCTCTTTCTCCCCCCCTGGGTGTGTGTGAGACAAGTCAAGTGAGTCAGCCTGCCAACAAGCAGCAGTGTGCTGTCATTTCAAACATGTTACCCCACTGTTTAACACACTTTTACCTGTGTTTTGAAGACTCTTTCCTGGGTCAATGTGTCCTCTTTCTCCCCCCCTGGGTGTGTGTGAGACAAGTCAAGTGAGTCAGCCTGCCAACAAGCAGCAGTGTGCTGTCATTTCAAACATGTTACCCCACTGTTTAACACACTTTTACCTGTGTTTTGAAGACTCTTTCCTGGGTCAATGTGTCCTCTTTCTCCCCCCCTGGGTGTGTGTGAGACAAGTGAAGTGAGTCAGCCTGCCAACAAGCAGCAGTGTGCTGTCATTTCAAACATGTTACCCCACTGTTTAACACACTTTTACCTGTGTTTTGAAGACTCTTTCCTGGGTCAATTGTGTGCTCTTTCATCCCCCCTGGGTGTGTGTGAGACAAGTCAAGTGAGTCAGCCTGCCAACCAGCAGCAGTGTGCTGTCATTTCAAACATGTTACCCCACTGTTTAACACACTTTTACCTGTGTTTTGAAGACTCTTTCCTGGGTCATTGTGTGCTCACCAGGGGCACGAGAATACCCTCCACAGAAGGGGTCGTGGTTCCGTGAAGAAGG